TACATATACGTATTTTACTATTTACGTATATGTATTTTACTATTCATGTATACGTATGTATGAATAGTATTCTACTATGCATGCATAGTGAATGGCTGCGCATGAGGGGCGGCTACGAGGGGCTGCGGAATTCAGAATTCTAAAAATTTAATTAATTCTAATATTTTAATGAATAGTGCATAGTAACTTTAATATTATAATAATGAAATAATATTATTTTAATGAATAGTGCATAGTGCATAGTAATTTCAAAATTTCTATAAATAGGGGCCTAGGGTTTTGAAAATTCATAATTCTAGAGAGAAGGAAATTCTAGAGAGATAGAAAGGGAGAAAGAAAGAGAGGAGATTCTGCCCTAGTTCCGGTTCCGATTTAAGAAAAAGAGGAGGAGGTTCTGCCCAAGTTACTATTTATCCAGGTACGGGAGAAAAGAGGGTTATTTATATGTATAGTACATGCGGGTTCTTGGGCTGTTACATTGGTATCAGAGCCGGTTCCCGGGCCGGTGTGCCAGCGAGGGCGCTGGACTCCCTTGAGGGGGGGTGGATATAGTCCCACATCGGTTAGGAAGGAGAACGAAGCATGCCATATATATGGGTGTGGACACCTTCCTTGTGTAGACGCGTTTTGGGGTGGCATGCGTGCCATTGCCAGAAACAAATCCGTGAGGGCTGCGGCCAAAGCGGACAATATCTACATGCGGGTTCTTGGGCTGTTACAGGCGTGTGCGAAGGGTCACGGCCACTAGACGAGCTCGGTCTTAACTCTTCGACCTACGGTCTTCGGAACTCGGGGGAGCTAGTGTACTATCCGTACCGCCATACCGAGCTCGAGCTCGGTATCACAGCGCAGGACAACCTCGGACATGCGCTGGGCGATCTCGGTCTAAGCGAGATCCGCTATCTAATCAGATCATAACTGATCTCGGGCCCAAGGCCCAACACAATCCTAATTCACACCAAGGTACATGCATTATTTATACGAGACTCATACTCATACAAAATCGGAATCTCTTTTGCAGGTACCACCCTCATCTTGGAACACCAACGTACTAGTGAAGGAGGCTCACTGATCTTACTTGACGGATCATCTCTACAGCAGATCTCCAGTAAGAACAAGAGTTAATAGGAATTTCAACAAATTACATATGAACAGTGAGAAAAAAGAGCATACATTACATGCATGGATGCTTATGCTATTTATAAAGGCTGCCTTTATGATATCAGAGCCGCGGAAAGGAAGTGACAATCTATTATTGTAATAAATTTGGCATTTAATTATTTTTTTAGAGTAATACTGTTCAGTACCAAAAACACGTATACAAAGCAACTATTTTTTGATATCTGTCAAATGTTAAAATTTATCTTTCCTTTTTATAATTTTCAAATATAGCAAATAAAAAACAGCCACATCTATTAGTATTATTAGATTCGTGCGGTTTTTCTTCTTACTAGATAGCAAGTCACTAATTTAAAAAGGTTTTAGTTAAGTTTTTAACTTTGAAGAAGATGCCATTAATTCTTTTTAAGCTAATTTTTTCCCTTAAAATTTGAAGGATTATTTCCACTTTTCTACTTCAAATTATTTAATTTCGCGAGTCATCGGAAAGGCAAAGCCATTTTTTGGGGGTAAGACTATATCTTTGTAGAGGATTGTTTTAGGTACAATCACATTGGCTATTGTCATATCGGTGACGGTGAGAAACGAAGCTGTTTCTCCTTTGTTTTAGGGTTCTCGAATAAACTTTAAAATTGCAGAAATTCATTACTTCATATATGGAACCTTATATGTTGAGAAATAATGAACCCAATTTATATATGTCAGTAAAATAATGGTTCTATTGGGGTAACAATCAAAATAAATTGTTATATAACTCAGGCTAGTTTCTACTGCTCCTAATAGAAATTCTTGAAATTTGTCCAGTCTTACATTGCTTTGACCCATAAGATTTGAAGAGCTGAAATCAAAGATTTGAAAATTACTATAACGTATTCTATATGAAGATTTTTATGGGTTTTAGCATGATTGGCTAAATATTCTCTTCATAACAGATGGAATTCGACTTATTGTCTTTACAAGATTTTGCTAACTCAATCCCTACCGAATGGTTTGATCTAAGCATTTTGTACTTCTCAGTTTAGAAAAAAAAAAGTTTAATACCCTTTTAATCCTTTTTATTTTGAACTTTACTCGTTTATATATATCATTTGTTTCTTTTAGTTTATATAATTACATAAATTCTACTTTTTAATCTATATAGAAATATGGGATGGTGAATAAAAGAGAACTAAATAATATTATAAGAATTAAAATGAAACATTTTTAATTATAAAAATTAAAAGACAAAGTTCATAAAATTACAAGGACTAAAAAAATAACTAAGAAAATAACAATTGTGTCTGCTATTAGTTCAACTTTAAAGTTTAAGCTAGAAAACATCGTATTGGAAGATTGAGTCCTGATGCTTAGTACGAAGAAAAGTCACACGAACCTTATGCGAATAGATGTATAGCGTGTTTGCATTAGTGTTAGAAACGTGAAAAATCACGTTTGATCAGAAGCAATAAACAATAGTTTCTGCGTAACATATTTCCAAAACACACTAGTAGTCGCTTTTTATCGGTTATTTGAAATTCCAAACACACTAGTAGATCGGTTATTTGAAATTTTTTAAAAAAAATTAACATTTGACAGAAATCACAATGTTTGCTTCGTATAAGCCTGTTAAGGGTCCGGTCAAATATTTTTGGTACTAAAGTAACTAAACAGTATTACTCTTTAAATTACTAAACAATTAAAAACATTTTAATAGAAAACCTAAAAAAGAAATCTAGACTCTTCAGAGTAGAGTTTTAAGGTAGATTATTAAAAACGATTGTGGTTGATACATGTACGGAAATGGAAGAATTAATATGAACCATGAAGAAAAGATCCAAACATACTAATAAAAGTGTGATAAACGTAATAGATTGTGGTGAAGATGAATCCAAGAAACCGATATAAGAATTTGTGTTTGTTTTAGTTCATATAGAGCATGCAGAAAGCAGAAGTATATGTTTGTTTATTGAGAGGGAAAAAAGAAAAGAAAAAGAAGAGAAGATTACCAGATGAGGATGGAAAGGCAGCATAGAGAAAAGGAAAGAGGAGAAAAAGAGGAAAAACAGTGGTATGGGAGGTGTAGGG